TTGTTTATGAGTAGCGCGAGTGTTTTCTTTTTCTCGATGACGACGCAAGGTCTTTACAATTGATTGATATGTGGACTGACCAGTACCCTCCGATCGGGCACCAGCCTCCCGTACCTCCCGTCCCAACACGGCCTTTTCCGTATAACGAGGGAAGGACACGTGTATGTGAGTGGGACGTACGAGAAGCTGTCRCACAGATCGGCGGGCGATACTACTTCCCTCCGGCCAACCGCTGTTCAGGGTTCGTAGAGGCTGGGTTTGTCATTATCGATACGCACTTCCCACCTTACTCGATATTGTTGCCATTCAACGAGTTGATCGTCATCCCGTGGACGGCAGTGGAACCCCACTGGCCGCGCACTCTATGCACCGAATGCCAGCATTTTGAGCGCCACAAATCCAGGGGTTTCCACTACCGTGTGTGGAGTGAAGACGAGCATAAGGAAAGAGCCACGCGGCTGAGACCATCCACGTCGGACTCGGAACTGACCACTGAACGACGACGAGATTTGATACGAAAACGAGACACGCGGAGCGTGCCAAAGCCTTTCCGTTCTAAACGACAGGCCGTAGCTCGGTTGGAAGCCCGACAATACTTTTTGGATTGAATTTGAATTTTTCTCTTTTCGCGCCGTGCCCGCGCGCGCATCCCGCGACGCGCGAAAGCAATNCGGTTGGAAGCCCGACAATACTTTTTGGATTGAATTTGAATTTTTCTCTTTTCGCGCCGTGCCCGCGCGCGCATCCCGCGACGCGCGAAAGCAATCGACTTCGTCGGACCAACACGGGGGATTTCAGTTCCATCTGTGTCCCCACACTCAATTTCTAAAAATCCTTGGCACACCCCATCTTGCTGTTTTTCTGGGCCTCTTTCCGCACGCCTAACACTCCGAACGGAAGACAGCACAGGGCGTGAGGTTGGTATCGGAGCCGACACGTGTCGGTTCTGATTATAGTAAGTCAAACTGGCGAGAGGTAGGAGAGGCCCTCAACTAGCTCGTCGCCCAGTGACCAGGTCTCAGTCTAGTGCGGCTGCACCCGCAGTACCAATGGTGGACGGTACTAGGGTGATCGTTAGCATCCCTGCCGCCTTCCCCTTCTTCCCCAACCATATGCATCCCGAGGCATGGCTAGAAGTTGTCGAAGCTCAAAACTACTGCGCAGCCGATCTTCCCCGCGTTCTAACATTGCTACTCCGCAACACGTCGCATGACTGGTTTAGAAAACATACGTGGGTAGATTGGGCTACTTTCAAGCAAGCCTTCTTGGCTCGATTCGATACGGTCAGTGAAGATGCCACCTGGTACGTACTCAAAAATTGACCACAAGGACCAGGGGAATTGTTGCCCGATTTCGTCGATCGATTTCAAACTACGCTGGACAAATCCGGGCGAGACGAGAAATCCGCTCGAGATTTGTTCATCGATCATCTACGAAGTCCGACATTAAAAGGCAAACTGCAGAAAAATGTCCCGCCGAAAACACAGCAGTTATCGGCTATCATCACTAAAGCATTAGAGCTGGACCTGGCTGATACAAAAAAATATATCAGTCAGGGAGACGAAGATATTATAGATACCATACGGGATGTAACAGCCAAAAGACGATCATGGTTGCAGGCGGTCGAACGGTTTTATCCCCACCCCGACCATGACCTTCCCGGCAGGATCGTTTCCGATATCCCGCCTGCTTCTCCTTCCTCTCCCCCGGTGAATCAATCGATCGCAGCTGTTAAAAGCGGAATCTCACCCGAACCCCCTCTCGCCGGCCATAACTAACTTACACCTTGCCCAGATGATCCATATGGCCACTACCAAGCAGTCCGAATGGAATGAGCAACTTGATCCAAATGCAGACCGCTCACATGGAACGGATGTAACAGATAATGAGTAGGCTAATCAAGCCTAACCCGGCCCTTGCTCGGCCGGCCCCCGCATCATTCCCGCTCTTACCTGCCCCACCTGCTCCAGGGTACGCACCTCAGTTCCCTCACCTAGCCAATCCAGCTGGAAAGATCGAGTGTTTTAACTGCAAACAGCCCGGGCATTTCGCCCGGGACTGTCCTCAGCCAAAACGTAATTAGCCTCCACCTGCGGCGGCCCCCGTGGCCCGGGAGTGGCCGCTTTGATGGATACAGCCCAGGGAGGAGAGCTCGTGGCATATGCCCCATAGCAGCCTTCCCCCTCGATGAAAATGGCGTCGACATCAGGAGCTTCTCCCTCTGACGCTGCAGACGTGGTCGATCCACTCGAATATCTTCATCTTGCAGGCATGGTCGGAGCAATCCGATCGGCCCCTGATGATCTCGAATGGGTCGATCGTGAATCCAATCCTGGTCCGCAGTTCCGAACAGGAGAGATCGACGTGCTACAAGCACTCAAACAACTAGATATTCGTGTTCCGATCCCGGTGGGACATCTGCTCACCATATCTGAAGCGGCGAATGATAAACTTTTACAGCATTGCCAGAAAAATCAAAAGCACTTTACCTATCAGCGCATACAACGGATGTTGACGAAGAAGGAAGGAAGCGAGGAAGTTGCACTCCCTGAGCCTGACACGAAAGAATCGGAACCCGAAGCCGCACGTATAGCAGCGATCTCTTTAGCAGAAAAAAATCACTTCGTACGAGCTCGGCCGGTATTGTGGAAAAGTGCGGAATATGACTGTGAAGTTTGGGGCAAGCCGCTTAATGCCCTTATTGACACGGGGTCTTCTGCCGTGGCCATATCATTGGATACTGTCAAAAAGACGGGACGACTGGGATCCATTCTTCCTCAATCTGGCAAAGACAATTATGTCTATGCGACGAGGAGGCAATGAACATCGTGGGCAATTATCGAGAACGTGGCTGTAAAAGTCGGGCGAGTACACGTCCTTATTAACGCGCTCGTAATAGATGTACGTTCCTATTCTGTGTTATTGGGATTACCTTGGGCGATGGCGGTAGGCGCACGTCTGCATTTCGATTCGAAACAATTGGTGCTCACGCAAACTGGGGGAAAACCTCAAATTGTCCCTTTGCGAGTTTCCACCCGAACGATAAAACGGGTCCCTAACTCGGCCCAAATTGGGATGATTCGATGCATTGATCCCGAGGAGTGCCCTCCCTTGGACATCAGTGATGGAATCAGGGAACACGAATGCGAACAAGAGCTGCCCAGCGAAGATGAATGGAAGCACCTGGTTGAACTTTTCGAACACGAAATTCCCGAGGAATTCCAAGTGTGCCTTGATCCTGCTCGAAGTTTCCACGTGGATTCCAGAGACAACGCGCTTGCGCCTCCGATAACTCAAGTTAGTCATTCGGTCCTGCTTGGGGAACCTATCTTACAAGTATCCGACCTGGCTGATGATTTGGAACCCCCTCGCACCTTATACGAGGGAACTCTCTCCTTACGAAGGCGTTATCAGCAAACGGAACAGTATTTGGATGTCTCTATTTTTCCGCCCAGATCGTTACTAACATCAGGAGCCACCATCGCCTTGATTAAACGGTAAGTGATGTACCTAATCTGATGCAAGAAATGACGGATCTAACGGGGCTAACTGTGGAACCAACCTCGGTTGGTTCAGAAACTAAAGAAACGGAGATGATCATCCCTGCTGAGTCCCAGATGATGGCAATTGTCTTCTCTGTTCGCACCAGTAGTTCCATTTTTTCTAGTGTCCATGATCGGCGGGAACGGCCAGTTGATTGGATCGATATGCCCCTTAAGATTTTCGGGGAATCAACAATCACCCTGCCAGGTCACGTCCCCGCGGAGCTTCGGAAATCATTAATCCGTGTGTTAAACGGTTACGCAAACGTATTGAGCATACACGATAACGACATCGGCGTAACTAATGTGATCGAGCATGCCATTCTCACGGGAGACCATCCGCCCATTAGCTGCGCTCCCTACCGATACTCGCCAGCTCAAAGAGCGGCCGCTTTTCAGCGGATTAAGGAGTTCGAAGCTAATAGATGGATCGAACCCGCCATAGGTCCATGGTCTTTCCCTGTAGTGATCGTGCCTAAAAAGGTCGGAGGGATTCGCATTTGTATTGATTACCGAAAATTGAATGATATCACGATTAAAGATGTGTACCCTCTCCCCCGGATTGATGAGTTGTTGGATGCGATTGGGAGTGCTCGATTTTTCAGCAAGTTTGATGTTCGCCATGGGTTTCATCATCTTCTTGTTCGTGAGGAAGATCGTCCGAAAACAGCGTTCATGCTTTTCGAAGGTACATGGCAGTGGATTCGATGTCCGATGGGTATCTGCAATGCCCCGACGACCTTTCAGCACGCCATGAACATGGTTTTTCAGAATTTCGTGAGGAAGACTCGTTTGGCGCAAAGTATCATCAACTACTGCGTGATTGTGTACATGGACGACATCTTGGTGTATTCAAGTTCCTACGAGGGACACGTGCAGCACATCGAATGGGCACTGCATGCGTTACGAGATGCGGGCTTCAAGGTGGCGCTTGAGAAGTGTTAGTTTTTCCTCACCACCATTTCCTTCCTAGGGCACGTGGTGACAGACAAGGGACTCCAACCGGAGCCGCAGAAGGTGGCAGCTGTCAGGGACGCGCCGGTGCCTACGACTATCACGCAAGTTCGCATCTTTCTGGGCCTAGCCTCGTACTACCGAAGATTTATCAAGGGCTTCGCGGCGATTGCGGGACCCCTCACAAATCTGTTGCGCAAGGATCAGCCATTGATCTGGACGCCGGAGTGCGATCAAGCGTTTTCCACACTCAAGGCCACGCTCATTTCGGCTCCGGTCCTTATAAGACCGGATCCTTAAAAACCTTTTGTTCTCATCACTGACTGGCAACCAGAGGCGATTTCGGCGATCCTTGCCCAGGTGGGACCAAGCGGACTCGAGACTCGGAGTGTGGTGGAGTATGCGTCCAAATTAGTGCCCGTCTGCAAGCGCAACTACGCCGCTCCAACGGGGGAATGCTACGCGGCCCTCTGGGGAATCAGTCACTTTCGTGCTTATCTGTACGGGCGAAAGTTCACCTTGGTAACTGATCATGAGCCCCTATTGGCTCTGAAGAAATCGAAAGATTACTCTGGCATGATCGGGCGATGGGCAACGGTGCTGCAGAGCATGGACTTTGACATCCGTCATCGGAAGCACGAGAGACACGGGAATGCGGACGGACTGACATGGCTGCACCGGCTTGAGAAAGTTTCGAAGAATGAGGAGGTGATTCCGTGGAACGAACCTGAACAAGAGATTGGACCCCGGTACGGCCAAGTGGAAATTTTGTCGAAGAAGTAAGTGGCACGAGGACTAATTTGTCTGTTCTACTCTCCTCACAAGTCAGTCTCATCTCTCCTCCTCTATCATCATGACTACCCCACTTGCCTCCGCAACCCCTTCTTCTCCTACTAATTCTGCCCCTCTCACTTCCTTGGCTTTCTTCGCCACCCTTCCCGATAAATTCTGTTATTTTTGCACGTGTATTGCACGGGTTTATGGGGCCGACTGTCATCCCTTCGAGACCGGATTTGTCGATTGGGTGGAATGTGCCACGTGTGTCAATCGTGCGCACGGGGCCTGTGTTAGATATCGAACGAGTAGCAAGGAATGGAGGTGCCCCCTGTGTAGAACGAACAAACTCCCCACGGAGGTTCGATTCGAAGCCGCCTGAACGGACGGCCCTGAATACGACGAAAAATACCGACGAGCGGAGGTTTGGACGGATAAAATTTTATTGGCGAAATTAGCGGGATTATCATTGGGCCACCTCACCAAACACGACAGACGTAGGGCGACCGAGAGATCTCAGGACTATCAATGGATCAACGGTCATTTGGAAAAACGTAAAACTGACGGATCGGGCTCGTGGTTGACGGTTCCCCATCCATTCCAGAGATATGACTGGATCCGATCTGCTCACGAAAAACAGGCCGCTCATTTCGCGATACGTGTCACGGAGGCAACTGTAGACCAGAACCGATGGTTCTGGTCCAACGTACGAGATGATGTCAAATACATTGGCGCTAACTGTCTGGTCTGTGCCGCTGATCGCGCCCCTATACGGGGACCAAACACGATAGTACCAACAGAAGTAGAGCGTCCTTTCTAATGAGTCGGTGTGGATACGACAGATATCGACGTGCCACCTGGCCCAAACCGCTGTGAATATTCTATCCCGTTAGTTTTAATTGACCATTTTTCAAAATACATCGAAGTCTATCCCTGTAAGACCCGAAAGGACACAGAAATAGCCACGTACATCAAACGATTCCTCTATACCCATCTAGATACGGAAGAAATTCTAACCGACAATGGGTCGGAATTCAAAGGTGAGGTAGAAGAACTGCTTGCGCGAAGGGGCGTCACGCTCCGACATACAGCACCCCACGTGTCCCAGTCAAACGGGCTGGCCGAAAATGCCAACCGTATGATTAAAACCGCCCTTCGCAGGAATTTAGCGGCACATGACACACTTCCTTGGCCCGAGATCGTATATCAGATCGTCGGGATCCACCGGGCCACCCCTCACGAGTCCACGGGGTTTACCCCTTTTCAGCTTCGAACTAATAGCCTCCCCTGTGTCGATTACTGGGGTAACTCGGAAATTGTCGAAGCAGGGGGTAGAGACACGCGTGCAGCTCTCAAGGCCAATGCCAAAAGGTACACCGAATTAATGGAACGGGCCGTCCCGAAGCTAGCCCGAAAAAGGCAAAGGATGACCGAACTAGCCCACGGTAGACAGGTCCGTAGCTACGAGGCTCGGAATGGAAATGCTGGGCCCCAACATCAATATAAATTAGGGGACCTAGTGCAGGTACGAAAATGTGCACGCGACCGAAAAGGCTAGTGCTAGCCATAGCTCTGTCCCCATCGTCCGGCATACCTCCTACCTCCGTCTTCTTCCTCCTTCTGATCTTCCTCCCTCAAAAAGCAAGGAGAACGACGACGATCTAACTCTCTCTCCTCTTTCTCCCTCTTGTCCTTCGTCCTCCTCTCCCACCTCGCCATGAGTTTTATCACGGAGCGGGTTCTTGACGCACAGCTGTTGCAGCCACGTGGCCACGTCTCAGAGATTCGGCAAGTTTGTCACCCTCGGCTCAATGCGGATCTTCGGCGTTTGCGTTTCGAATCGAAGGAAGTCCTCACGCAGTAGTATTCGCAGAGGTAACCGCAGTTCATCGGCGAGCAGGCCCCAGAACGAGCCACGTCACCACGGTTGCGGCGTTCAACGGCGACATCAGCTCGGTCAATCCGCAGTGGCATACCGCGATCTTGACCTCGTTGCGCGAGTGGACGGAGCAAGTGTCCAACGTGTGGCAGCACGTCCTCGCCCGACAAGGGTATAACCTCATCCCGATCTTTACACCGGATCTAGACAATATTTGTCGATCACTGCGAGAGCGGCCAGTTGCGATCCCAACCCTCGTCCCCTTCCCACATCCCCAATGAACCACGCCGATCTCCTCGCTCCTCCCTCCATGTTTGGTCTCCCCTCCCTCTTCCCCACCTTCTGGCAATCCGATCTTCATCCTTCTCTTTCCTTCTTGCTCGAGCCTCTTTCGGTCCCTCTTATCAATCCTGGACACTGGCAGCTGTGGCGTGAAACCTTTGAGAAACTGTCTTTCTGCTTGGCCAGAGTACAGGTGACGTGGACACAGACCAACGGGCATCCTGCGTGGATCGAAAATTCAGAACTGCTAATCATCCAAGCTTGGAGGACTAACGCGGAGAGCGATCTTCTTGGTTTTCTCTTTGGATCGGTACAGTCGGGGCGCCGTCAGCTGATTGTGCAAAAGCTCATCGCACCAATCGTGCAATTGGCGGACGATCTCTCGCCTGACATCTATTCACAGAGTGACGACAGTCCTGCTCCGTACATTTTCGAGCGATCATTGAATCCGTACCTTCAGTGGACTGCATGCTTGGAGAAACCTAGGGACGAGGATACGCTACCATCGCGGCAGGAGTATCTGAAGCCGTACGATATCATCCCTCACGCCTTCTATCCGAGGGCAGAGGAAGTGGTGATCGACGACGACGACGAAGAGGACGAAGACGAGGAAACATCGGAGGAGGGAAGCTATAGTGAACATAGCGAGGGCGAGCTGAGCGAAGGAGAAGAGGAGGAAGAGGAAACTGGATCTGAGTGGGAAGCCTTGCCGGAGGAAGCGACGCGTACAGGAACGGAAGCAGACGATCCGGAAGCGGCGCGAAAGCGCGAAGAAATTGCCACCGGGAAGCGCCAGCTGGAGTTCGCCAGCCAAGCTAGCCTGCGCATCGGTAACGATCCAACCAGAGATCCGGAGCCGCCGAAGCCCGAAGATGGCGACCCTGCAACCGCCACCTCAAGTACCGCGCGACGAAGACGGAGCTGATCCCCCTCCTCCTCCAGCCCCACCCGTCCCCCAGTTCGCCCACGTACCGATGCGGGCGATAGGCCTTCGTCCTCGGACGCTGTCCCGCCGACCCCTTGATTTCCTCACCCTCGAGCAGATCCGTACCCCCGTCATCTTCCCTTCCCATCCCTTCCTTCCCCAACTCTTCCACGACTTCTATTCTACTCGCCTACTCGCCACCGTCCACCCCCACCCCTCTCTTCAATCCGCTGGCCCCACGTTCTGCTGGCACCTCTTGTTGTTCAGTGCTGCATGGGAGCGATGCAATGTGGTAGAGGTTTACTGCGTTGCCACGGGGACAATCCCCGCTTGCCGCCACTTCGAGTTCTTTCGAGCGGCGCTTTTCCGCACCCTCTCCTCCTTCTATCGCGACTACCTCGCTTCCCTTCCCCGCAGCGGCGATCATTTCCCCCACTTCCACCGGATCATCCGATATGAGAAGCTCCCGGTGACGATGGAAGGGATGAATCGCTTCCTACCCCCACTTCCTCCCCGTCGTCCCCGCGAGATCCCCTCCATGTACCGTCTCTACTGGCCTTTTCCAACTAGACGGTAGATCCCATTCACGTGACCCCCCCCCCTCCTCTCTTCATCGGCACGAATCAGTAAGCTTCGCGAAGATCACACCATCGACGATGACGTCAACCTACGCTCTGATTCGACGGACAGCAACGAGCTGGGGTGCAGAGCACACGGAGATCAGATGGACCGTGATAGCATCACCTGGACGATCTCTACAGGGCACGGTGTTGCATATGATAGGGCCGCGGAGATCTTGCCACAGATGTTGTCGCCATCTCATCCGCGGCTCAGTTACCACTCCTTGTGCTCTGATTGATGTGTTTGGTTCCTCATGCATCACTCTGTTCTCCCCCTTCTCTTTCCTCCTCCGCCATGACATGCAATAAGGAGATCGCATAATGTTGGAACCCCCTGCGCGTTACATATGTGACGAACCACTTCCCGAACCCGTGCCATCTTTCGTACCCCTTATTTTGCTTGTATCATACCAACCCTAGAAAAAGCCCATTTCGATTTCTTGTTTTCGGAGGCCGCATTTTTCTTTGTTCTAAAAGCTTTTTCGACTTCTGGGTTCTGTTTTTCCTTTTTGCAAAGTCGAAAAATACATGGGAATTTATGTGCGCCTTAGCGAGCGCACTGGGAATTGGGCTTGGCAGTTGGGAATTCCGGGATAAGTGGAACTTCGACGTGTCCTTTTCGAGTGTGTGTTCTTGGGCGCGTCAGGGAAAACTCTCGGAATTTTGCGTGAATACGAATAGGCGTAGGATTTTCTTTTCCCGCGTCGCTTTTCGCGCGCGGATATGGTGATTTCAATTTTTGAATTAGGATAGAAGCAAGCCGTAACTGT